TTCCTCAGTCGGCCTGTTCTGCTCCCCACTCTGTCTCTGGTGAATCCTCTCACCACCCCTGTACCTCTGCCCAAACCCCAGTTCTGTATGCATAAATAAAACTTTAAAAAGTCTGCCTTTATTTATCCCCATGGTCTCCAGATATCCTGGGTCTTATACCAGCTCTTAGATTCTCACAGAGAAAGCAAATGGAGTTCATACTCTTTTTTTTCCTTGAGTATCTTGAAGTTAATGGCTACATGATACTCCATTGTAATAGATGTACTACCACCAACTCAGTAACCAGTGCTTAAGTTACCACTAGCTTTTCAGCACTAAGTTTTAAAAGCCATTGTAATATTGCTCATTCATAACTAGGATTCTATAATTTCCTATACAAAAGGCAGAAATTCCAATTTATCTGCACCTGACTTTAATGTCTCTTTTTGGAAAACTGGATTTATTTAGGCAGTTATTTGGGTTTTTCACATCCAAGATTATGAATATTACAAAATGATGTCAGAATAATTTGAGGTAAAAAGTATTTGAAATGAATGTTAAAGGACCAACATAAAAATAATCAAGTTCGACTTTGAGTTAGCTAACTTTTGTCCTAATATATTCCTAATTTTTTTTACTATTAAAAGCACATTATTTTCTACCTTAAAATTATTTAATTAGTAAATTTTTAAATACCAGATACCTTAAAGTGGCAGGGTAAAGTTGTCTCAAAATCTACCACTGTTACATTAGTTTGCACTATTATTTTCTTTAAGAAAATCTAACCAATGTACATTGCTAGTGAAATGGTCTTTATTTAACACCACTGTCCATTCAAGAGCTTTCATGAGTGTTTCTTTTGAATTCTAGGATTGCATGTGTGAGCGCCCCCAGTGTTTACCAGAAACTGAGAGAGCTGCATAGAGATGACTTTTCTATATACATCTTTGAATATGATAGAAGATTTTCCATATATGAAGAGGAATTTATCTTCTATGATTACAATAATCCTTTGGATTTACCTGAAAAAATCACTGCACATAGTTTTGACATCGTCATAGCAGACCCCCCCTATCTTTCTGAGGAATGCCTCAGAAAAACATCAGAAACCATTAAGTATCTGACACGAAGCAAGATTCTGCTGTGCACAGGTGGGTGCCAGCTGGCGTGTCTCCTGGGAGCTAGTGAGGGTGATATTTAAGCCTTAGCTTTCGAGAATTAGCAGAGCTCTTAGAAATCAAGAACTGAATCCCCCACCTACTCTGTGACCATAAACAAGTCATGTAGTTTTTCTATGCCTCAGTTTCCTTATCTGTAGCTGCTAGTCAGGGTTGTTGAGAATTAGAGGATTACATATAAAGTGAGGTCTGGCACGCAGCAGGTAAGTGTTACTTTTACTGACCATCATCATCATCATCATCATTAGTAGCATAATGATTTGGTCTCTACTTGATAAAAGAGAAATTTGGAATCATGTAATCATGGAGCTAACATGTTTATTGTATTATGTGTATAATGCGTATTCCGAGGCTAGTAAACTGTTGTCAAATAGATAGACATGAAGTGCATTTTACTGATGTGGGCCAAAAGAGTTACATTGTTGACACATTTGCAAGATGGGGTAGGTCAGGGCTGGACTAGAGGAAGAAATTAGTGTGAGTGTATTCCTGGAGGTTGCAAGATTAAATATTACTGAGAAGGGGGCTCTTGTCTCATAGTTGGCAAGATCTAGTTTTTAGTAATTTTTGCTTGTCTAATGTTATTTTGAAGAATATAATCTATTTCTAATTTTCTAAGTGCTTCAGCTCTGCGGAGTTAAGAAAATTATTAAATAAAAAATAAAAGGAAAAAGCAGGTCATTTTCCAAAATGTTGGTGAAAGTACGTTGGATGTAAAGCCAACTTTTACCGCTTGTTGAATGTTGTTGTCATTAATTACTCTATGTGTTCAGTTTAGAAAGTTTAGGACCCCGCCTTCCTCTAAATGAGGGCGTGTGGCTCATTTGATTCTTTCTCTTTAGGTGCAGTCATGGAAGAAGAGGCAGCAAAACTCCTTGGCGTGAAGATGTGCAAGTTTATTCCAAAACACACACGAACCTTAGCAAATGAGTTTCGCTGTTATGTGAACTATGAATCTGGACTAGATCATGATGTTTAGATACAGGTAGGAATATAAGCCAGTAGAATGCCCTTTGTGATGTTCGTTCCCCTCTTGTATCTTCCTGGCAGAATCACATAATCTCCCTTACCGCACGAGTGGGGCTCTCCCTAGTCCGGTTTCCAAAATAAAGAATATAGTTGCTCATGATGATTTTCATATTGCGAGCTTCTCCATAGCATCTGCCCTTTTGAATCCATGGAATTATAGGTGGAAGACATCTTATAGCCCATGGGTATGAAGCAAAAGCATAAACAACTCAGTGAGTTGGCCAAGACTGAATTAGACAAACATGAGCTCTCCATCAGGCTGCACCCTCTTAACACTGCCTCTGATGCAGCCCAGCAGTTGTAGATCTTGTGTGGGGGCCTGGCCCCCCAAGAACAAACAACTTGCCTTCGTGAGGTAAGTTGATAATCCCACGAAGTGCTGTCTGGGGGCCTCCTGGATCTCATTCCTCTCTCCAGCACTGGGGCCCCAGCGGGACAGTGCTGTGCCTGTCTCAGCCTACACTCCTTAGCCGAGAGATGTTCTGTGCTCTTAGTACAGAGAAAATAAAAGTGCTTTCTGCAAGCCAGATGTCATGGCACAAAGGAGGTTAGGAGTATGCTAGACTCTATTTTTGTTCAAAAAATACTCTCAGACCTCCACACTACAGAACACTGCTCAGCAGTTAAAACAAATCATTGACTGGGCTACGGTGATGGCACACGGGTAATTTGGTGATGAGAAGCCAATGGGGATTACAACCGATATGGGAAAAGGCACAAAATGATGTAAAATTAAACTATTAAAAAAAATCATTGATACTGACAAATGTTCAGGGCCTCTGCTGAGTGGCCAGTTCTCCACGGACACATGCTATGCAGTCCTGTATCTGTGGCAACACCCTGGAATGGAGAGCAGATGAGAGGTGACATGTTAGCGTGGGGTGAGGTGGGTTTGGCCATAAAAGGGAGAGCTCTGTGGTGCTGGGACGACAGTCCTGACTGCACAGGCTGACAAGCCGGGGAGTGGCCACATTCCACAGAGTGAGAGAGAGAGGGCTGCACCAGTGCCTTGCATGAGGTTGGGGTGACATCGTATCACCCCTGTTCAGTGAGCTATCACTGCTAGGGGAAACAGGGTAAAGGATACATAAGCCCTCTGTAGTGTTTTTGCAATTTCCTGTGTATCTGCAGTCACTTCAAAATAAAACTTTAACACCCTTTCTCTGGGAAATGATGTTGCTTCCTTCCAAGACAGGAAAGATCTTTATTCTTGTTCAGATGTAGTGACCATCACTTTCCAGACAGAAGCTGCACTGGCTACCAGGGCCAAGCTGAGCAGGACCATGGAGACCCCACTGGCCACATGGGCCAGCGGCCCATGGGCTTGAGGTGAAGTCAGAAACCATAAGGCTGTCACCATGATTTTACTTTCAAAAATCACAATTTTATACGACTTTTTAAAAAAGCAGTGTGCCCAATACCTAGCATGTGAAGTCGTCAATAAATGTTCTTTCAGAAACATCTCCTGCATGATTATTTCTTTATGAATCATGTACAAAAGATTACATAGGCCAATAATAAATGTTAGTGACAAATCATATATGGAATGTGTAACTTAGGAATTGTGGCAAGTAGCAGCGTAGAGAAAACAATTTCAGTTGTCTTCTACATCTAACATTTAGATAGAGAAATGTTTTTTTTTTAAAAGTCTCCATCAATACATTGATTTCATTCTAAAAAATGGCTCGCTTCCTTTGGTTCATACTGACTTTTTATGTATGAACAGTTATATCCAGGTGCCAAAGACCCATTCTCATGCCAAAAACCAAGTGGCTCTGGAAAGATGCTTTCTGTCACACTGCAGAGCCCATAATGCCTACATATATGTCAGATGCCCTTTCAGATATTGAGAATATTAATAATAAGAGTCACCAGGGCAGTAGTTACTATTTGTATGTGTGTGCCAGACATTGTACTAAAGTGAGTTTCTTTAACAGCAGCATCATTGTAATCCTTGTAAGAACTTCACATTGTAGGTGCTATGTTCATGCTCACAAACAGGAAGGAGACACAGGAGGCTGTGAGCTTGCCCTGCAGCCAGTAAGGCTGCAGGCTGACTTCAGTGGGAGCCCACCCACCCCTGCTGTCACTGTGTGTTTTGCAAAAAAACAAAAACAAAAACAAAAACAAAAAACAGGCAGTGCCCTCAGGCACCCCAAATCCTGTTGTGCTGCTTTACCACCCTGAGTGGGAGAGTGCACCATTCGGCCCCCTGAAGAACAATCTGAAATAGTGGTGACAAAGTGATTGCAAATCAAATCATGAAAACTCCCGCTGGCCTTTTCAGTCTCTCCTCACCTTGTGTGTGTCTGTCAGACGTGGACACAAGGACGTGCCTGCGCAGCTGCACTGTGTGCAGGGCCTGGAATGATGGCGATCTTCACTGAAGAACTTCCTGAAAATATTTTACATATCTCCCATCAAAAGGTGGATTCAACATTCTTCCCTTGAAGATGAGCTGGCTTTCATGCCTCACATGTATAAATACAGTGGACATCAAAGTGAGCCTGTATGAGCCCTGCTGCCCCTCCCTTTACCCCCCCACCGCCCACATCTCTCCCTCTTTCTCTCAGAACTCCGTAAAGAACAGGCCCACTGTTGTTTTTTTTATTTTTCATGTATCATTGACATTCAGCATTACTTTTCTATCTATATTATAATGATTTTATATTTATATAGAATGCAAAATGAGCATCACAGTAAATCTAACTAATATACATTGCCATTGTTACAATATTTTTCTTGTGGTTAAAAACAAGCTCTATCTTCATAGCAACTTTCAAATGTATTGTGCAGTGTTATGAACTGTTGTCACCATGCTATCTATCATCATGACTTACATCATCGTTGGAAATTTGTGTTTTTTACTCCCCTTCGCCCATTTCAACCACCTTTTAGCCCTTTACCTCCTTGACTAGTGCCATTGAACTAGACTGGTTTGTTTATATGCTTTTTCACATTTCACATCATAAGTAAGATCATATAATACCTGTCTTTAGTTTCTAAAGAAACATTTATTTATGTATAGAAGAGCAAGTGGAGGCCAGAGGTGGGGAGTTGGTTGGGGGCTGTGTGAGAGGATTCATCAGAGTCAGAGTGGGAAGCAGAACAGGTGGATCTACTGAAATACACTGCTGAGGGAGCAGTGGGCACAGAGGTCTGCTGCGCTGTGTGAGTGAGTTCCCTGGCTGGGATTGAACTCGTGTTGCAGTGGATACAGACTGCACTGAGACTAACCCCTTGGCCACCAGGGAGCCCCAAGTTTTTATTTCTGGTTGAAGTAATGGGGTTCCCTATCAGATACTGCCATTGCAGTGCACCCACCACTGACACACCTATGGTTCACCTCCAGTCCATTGTCCATACTCTTCCCGCTTTTTTCTCACCCCTCCCCCTAGGGATGCTTCAGTTCTATAGTCAACTTTCAAAGTTTACTTTTTTTTTTTAGATTTATTTATTTATGCTTACAGAACTGGGGTACAGGCCAGAGGTGTGATGGGCGAGGGGAATCACCAGAGATAGAATGGGGAGCAGAACAGGCAGATGTACTGAAATATACTGCTGAGGGGAGCAGCGGGCGGGTCAGGAGAGGTCTGCCGCACCATGTGGTCACCTCCGGGGCAGGCGGGGATCGAACTCATGCGGAAGCGGCCTTAGCTTCTCAGTGCTGTGCTTTAACCCGCTGCGCCACCCGGGAGGGCCTCAAGGTTTACTTTTTAACTGATAGTTTTGTTTCTCTATATTTCACATGTTAGTGACACCATTTATCATATTTCTCCTTTTGGCTTATTTCACATAGCATTTTCCTTTCCAGCCCCATCCATGTTGCTTCAAATGACATGAGTTTATCATTTTTGATCACTGAGTCATATTCCATTGTGTATACATATCACAATTTCTTGATCCACTCACTTATTTTTGGGCATTTAGGTTGTTTCCATAATATGGCTTTTGCAACTAACGCTGCACTAAATATGGGAGTACATGTTTCCTTTCAAATTAGTGTATTGGTCTCTCTCCCCGACTTATGCAACTTAGTGTAGTGCCTTCAAGGTCCACTCATGTTGTTGTAAAAGGCAAAATTTTCTTTTTATACTGAATAATTTTCCACAGTGTGTGTGTACCTGACTTCTTTATCCATTCACCCATCGAGAGGATATCATCAACGTGGCAGCAAGATGCCCAAGATCAAGTTCTACCATAAAAAACAACTGATAAGGGGCCCTCCCTGGTGGCACAGCGGGCTAAAGCACAGCACTATGAAATTAAAGCCACTTTAGCATGAGTTTGATCCCCGCCTGCCCCGGAGGTGACCACATGGTGTGGCAGACCTCTCCTGACCCGCCTGCTGCTCCCCTCAGCAGTGTACTTTGTCAGTGGACCTGTTCTGTCTGGTGAATCCTCTCATCACCCCTGCACCTCTGGCCTGTACCCCAGTTCTGTGTGCATAAATAAATCCTTAAAGAAAAATGATGATAGGAGAACTATTACATTTACTCCTCCTCTTCCTCCTCTTTCCTATTCTCCATATCTAACCCTTTCTTCTCTCACCTTTGTACCTTTTACATTTCTGTATCATACTCCTCTTTCCTCTTATCCCTTCTGTTATTCCTTATTCTCTTTCAATCCAGGTTTCTTCTAGACAGACCTAGAGGGACCTAGCAAGCAGAGATCTGATGTCTCAGCCTGTCAAGAATCTCACGTGGAGCCCTGCACCTCCAGACACATGATGACACCAAGTCCACTGGGAGGTGCCCACAGACTGGGTGAGGTGTATTTCTCTGTTGAATAGGGGGCCCTCCCTGGTGGCACAGAGGTTAACGCACAGCACTGAGAAGCTAAAGCCACTTCAGTATGAGTTCGATCCCCGCCCCCAGAGGTGATCCACATGGTGCAGCAGACCTCTCCTGACCTGCCTGCTGCTCCCCTCAGCAGTGTTCATCAGTCGGCCTGTTCTGCTCCTCAGTCTGTCTCTAGTAAATCCTCTCACCACCACCCCTGCACTTCTTACCTATACCCCAGTTCTGTGTGCACAAATAAATAAATCTTTTAAAATAAAATTAAAAAATAGAAAAAATGGAAGAATGAATCAAAGGAAAAAGAATGCAGAAACACTTTGAGAACTATCTGACACCATGAGAAAAGGAAATATAAGAGCCGGAGGAATCCCAGAAGGTGAAGAGAGAGACAAAAGAATCAAGAACCTATTGAAGGAGCTAATTGAAATGGATTTCCCAAGCATGAAGAAGAAAACGAAAACAGACATACAAGAAGTTAGACCACCACCAAATTACCACAACGAAAGGAAAACTACAGCAAGGCACACAATGGAAAAATAATGAAGCTGACAAGGGGGAAGAAACAGATAATCTACAAAAGAAAAACAGTTAGTGACTAACTTCTCCAAAGAAACACTATAGGCAAGAAAAGAATGGAGTGAGATATTTATCAAACTCCAGGTCAACAAATGCCAATCAAGAGTACTCCATCCCACAAAGGTCTCCTTCCTCTGTGAAGGAAAAATAAGAGTCTTCTCAGACAGACAGAACCTCTAGAAATTCATTATTACTAAACTCCCTTTCAAAAAATATTACAAGAAACCCTAAGGTCAAAACCAACAGAGAGATGAATAGGAAGAATAGAGTAAGGTAAGGAATAAAATTACAAAAAAGGCAAACAAAATGGCAGATACAGATGCCAGTGTATCAATATTAACTCTAAATGTA